AGCGGATGCAACAGCTCGTCTCGGCGACGGTGCATTCCAACGCCCGCCCTCGCCTTCGGGGATTCTCAACCACCAGCAGTAGTGTCGCCGCCGCGGCAGCCAATGCGCACGCTGTCGAGAGCAAACCGGGAGAGAACATCGCTGACGCCGCCGCCACCGCCGCCGCGGCGGGACCCGGCGAGGAATCTCTGCAGATCCAGAGCAAGCTCTTCCTGGACGAGCAATCCTCCAAGATCACGGCGCTGTACAACGTCCTCCCCACCATCCAGGACCTGCAGCCCCTGTTGCCCGTCGTGCTGGAGCGGCTGCGGACGCTGAGCGTGATCCACGACGGCGCGGCACAGGCCAAGGCCCTGGTGGACGCGTTGGAGAAGCGCCAGGGCGAGACCAGGGAGGAGATTGCCCGGTGGAGGGAAGCGGTCGACACGGTCGAGAAGGGCATGGCCGAGTTGGGAGGCGTCATGAAGGAGAACGTTGAGATTCTGGGAGGGAGAGTCAGAGAGCTCGAGGCCCGGATCGGGACGTTGGAGCAGAGATAGTAGCAGGAAGCAGGTGAGCAGGTAACCAATGGAGTGAGATACGAGACGAGTGGTGGTGGTGGTGGTGGTGTCCTGGTCGGATAGATGGATGGAAAAAGGGTTTTTTTCCCCAGTATCATAAAAAGAGGAGACCAACCCAAGAAAAAAAAGTGTCTATCATTTCATGCCATGGACCGTCTTGATGGCGAAAACGCCACTCTCCTCCGCCTCCTCCCCCTACTACTGCTACTACTACGACTGTGCCCTCTTTAGAATGTACAACCTGTTCTCCAGCCCCCAGTGCACCCACCACCCCTTTGTCCAACTCGCTCGCCGACCCAGCACGTTGTGCAGTCCATAGCCTTCCCTGAGCAGATCGTGCACGACTCCGTATAACCATTTCACCTTTTCGCCGTACATGGCGTCCACGAGGCGGGCGAGGGCGTCGTCTTCCCTCCTCTCGCCCCTGCCGCCCAGGACCAGCGTACCCCTGCCGACGTCGGGGCCGACGAGGCGCAGAGGTCCCAGCGAGGGGACCTTGTCGACGACGTCCCAGCGGCCGATGACGCGGGCGGGGTCCTCGATGACGACGTAGTCAAACCGCGCCCAGAACATCGGGGAGAGCAGGTCGGTCTCGTTGTCCGATTTGTCGTAGACCCACCGCGTGCGCAGCGTCGACACGAGCGCCGGCTTGTCGCCCGACGGTGAGCCGGGGAGGTAGAAGACGGGCCGGCCGTGGCCTGACGAGTTCGTGAGCGACGGCGTGGAGAGGAAGTGCGTCACCCCCGTCTGCAGGGCGAGGTTGGTCAGGTGCACGCGGACGGTCGGTTGCGGTGGGTAGTTGAGCGAGAGGGCGTGCAGGGACGACAGCGCCTGGGCGCCTGGGTAGGTCTGCGCAGACAGCGGGAGGAGGAACAAGTGGGAGAGAAGCGCGGTGAGGATTGTAGTCAGGACGATCAGGTTTGTGACGAGGTAGTGGCGCAGATGGCGATCGCCGAGGGTGGAGATGTGAGCAGCGACTCTGGCGCCTGCTGCTGTCAATGGGGGAATGACGGGGAAGAGGAAGCGTGTCTCTTTGTGAGCGAGGCACGAATATAAACAGACATAGCCCATCGAGGGGACTATGAGGTCCAAGCTCGACGTTGCTATGCCGGGGTAAATGAAGGCGGCAGGTATCAGCACCACCACCACCAGGGGATTCATCAGAAGTCGCGGCAGAGCGTTGGTGAAGTACCAATGCCAGGGACTCGTCCCCCAAGCAGAGGCCCCGAGGCTCCCCTCCGGTGGGAAGACGTTGGACAAGAAGGCCACGAGTTCGGGCCACAGAGGTTTTGGCGACTGCCAGAAAAAGGTGTCGACAGACACGGTCAACAAAAGGCCTGTGACCGTCGCGGTGAGGATGGCCGGGATGAAGATCCTGCGGATCAGGGAGATGGCCACGGGGAGGTTGAACCCCGGGCGGAGCAGCATGTAAAGGCATTGACAGCCTAGAAGAAGAGCAATCTCGGAGCGGAATATGATAGCTGCGAGGGTGAGCAGGTACAGTGCCAGCTTGTTTCGTTTGACCAGGGATTCTGTGGTCGACGGCGTAACCGGGAGGAGGAGGGAGAGTGCAATCGTGCCTGGACGGTCCTTGTTTTAGCAGTCTTCCAGTTGGTACGGAGTGGACGCGGGCCACATACTCATCCCAAAGGCGAACATGTTGGGCAATGTCCGCGACGAATAATACCACACATGAAACTGACTTGCTTGGAGAATGGTGTACCAAGCTGCGGCAGTCTTGCCATAGGCTCGCCTCACACCTGATGCATAGTAGGTGAGAGCAGCTGCATTGAAGAGACCGAGAATCGAGCGGACTAGGGTATCCAGAGTCAGTGATGAAAAGTGTATGGCAGTACGGTTCGATCCTGGATGCTGTGTGTCTCTCTCACCGAGTAGTTGCTGCTGTCTCCCATCAAGATTTCCGAGCCAAACAAACGGCCTCGCAACGGCTGCTAGAACCACAGCCCCAATGAATGTCCGAGGCACGGCGCCAGGAAATGTCATATGGTCATAGAGGGCCTTGAATTTGACATTTGCGTTATGGGTAGGCACGCCATATTCCAGTATGTCATGGACAGCTTGGATATTGAAGGATTCTTCGACTTTGGTATAGGGGGAGATGTACAGGTGGCACAGGGTGAGAAATGGGAAAAGAAAGTAGGATGAATGCCAGAGCTCGAGTCGACTCATGCTCATTCTTTGTTCAGGAGTGCCAACAGTTTGATTAGAAGGATCAACATGTACTTGAGTGATAATGAATGAGGTTGACAGAGGGTGAGGATGGATGGGTGGGTATATGATGTAGCTTCAGCCTTGTCCCCACAGCCTTGTGATACCATTTCAACCACCACCTTTCACTTCACACATGGACAATCCCGGGATCACGGTGGCTACAAAAAAGAAGTGTTTGATCCATCTGGGAATCGAACCGAATACTTCTTCATCTCAAATGGCAAAAAGTTTAGTGAATCCGACCAAGCTGATATTACCTTTCCCACTCGAACCTCAGTAGGTGTTGCGGCTCCTGTCCTCACCCCGGTGGTGAGCGTTATCGAGCAATCTTACAACAGCCACTGTATTGGTTCTATGACCTACTCTGTAAGATGGAATCTTACTTCTTCGGTTTTTGACGTGGCGAGACCTTACTGCTAAGCAGCGGCCACGTCTGGAAAGGCCCCTCCCACCAAACCCACTAAACTTTCCCGAACATGATCCCTCGAAGATCGCAGGTATTATAGGTCTCTTTACCGCTGTGTGAACTTCTTTGTTGGGATATGTTGGAGAGATTTCTGGGATTGCAATTAATATGGCTGTGATTTTCCGACTGGCATGTGATTGCCTGGAGAGCAGTGAATATGAGGCAGTTAGTGGAGACAGGTGAGGCAGAAACACAGTGGAACGAGAAGCGAATGTAGATGTTTATTTGATGGGCGGGCCATTCCTGCCATTGGCTATCCTGTTAGAAGTTACAACTTCTCTTGCGAATCCGGCGGCAGGTGAATCTCCTCCAGCTGTTTGCCAGCAATGTCGAATGGCACGCAAGAGACCGTGGTGGCGATGAATCTCGCTGGCTTGGTCTTGGAGGCGTTGTGCCACCGATGCATGGTGCCTCGTTGGACAATATGGTCCCCTGGCTTCAACAAGACCCTCTCTCCACCGTCCAACTCATGCTCAATCTCCCCGATCACACAGACAGAAAAGTCAATGGACACGGTCCGATGCATCACACTCGACCCTCCAGGCGCCAGATCGACAATGAGCAGGTTCACTCCATTTGGTGTGACAATGTTTGGGGACGTCCAGCTTGTTGGTCCGTCGGTGCCAAGATACGCTTTCACGTCTTCGTCGTTTTCGAGTTTGGCTGGGACCGACGACACGGAAAAGGAACGGGCAAGCCCACCGACGTTCGGGACGGGGAAGTATTGTTGTGCAGGCGAATCCAGATACACGCTCTTGCCGTTGGCATCGTGGGTTGCTATGTGTCGCTTGACAGGGGGTAGGTCGGTGACAGATTGGAGCATTCCAGACATGGTGGATGGTATGCGACCGATATTGCAGGGGAGATCAGATTTCAATGGTGCTCTGGCAAAACTCTTGATAACTTGGGAGGATGGAGAGGAGATAGGAGATGGAACATGCACACCCAGACGTCTTATATAGACTGTTAAGCCCTGCTGCATTCCTTCTTTATCTGAGTCAGTTGATAGATGTGGCAGCTCCGACCCCGCCTACGCACGCTATCGACGTTCGCATGCCATGAGTGGTGCGGAGATGGAAGATCCCACGACTCGGTCCATGATACCCTCGGCTTCTCGAAAAAAGATGTTCATCTGCGATATCTGATGGAGTCTATTGAGCTAGAATTCGGTCGCAAAGGTATCTCTCAGGAGACATCATGTATCTGAGTCCGGTAAGGCCACTGAGGCTGACAGGCAAGGTATTGTACTCGGTACACTGAGACGCATGATATAGGAAGCGGGTTTCCGAAAGAGGTTTCCCAATGAGGTTGGGATATCAAAGATGCAATGTCCCGATGGGGCTATCCCATGTCTTTGATTTCCTTTTCCGGCCCGTCGCCCACTTGCATATGGCAGATAGGGGCAGATATATAAATATGTGGACAGCGGTAAGATTTTACAATCTTCGATGGATCTGTATTCGGTACTCCGTAGCTGAGTGGGGAACTTGTGATTGGGACTTGGGACACATTCTACCAACCCGTTAGCTCACGTTGGCTCGGATGCTCGGCCGTATGATGTTCCCTGCGCCGATCATGCTTTCGTGGCTTCAACATGCAACACTTGGATATCTCTTGACCATCCCCTGTTCATTCACTGCAGATCCTATGCTCGAGCTGTGACTTCAAAGGATAGTGTCTCTCTTGTCGCATTCATCCTTGCGCATAGGACGTTTAAACCCGTCCGACCAAGACCGACAACAATGCTCAGTCTTTTTGGCTTCGGGCCGTTCATCTACGGTGAGTACCAGACCAGATTCCCTTCTCTTACAGTGGTGCTGTGACACTAACCGACTGTCTTCTGCATCAGCGAGTTGCCTTCTCCTCAACGCCATCGCGATCCTGTCTGAAGACCGCTTCCTCGCTCGAAGTACGTCCAACCCCGAATCTCACCGATCCTGCATTCTTCATACTCTCTCTCTTTCCCCCACTATTGTTTCTGTCTCGCGCCGCGCATCGTTCAGGAAAGATCAAGATGAAGCAAAATACAAAAGGACTAACGGATCAAACTTGGCGTAAACAGTTGGCTGGGGCAAAACCTCTTTGAACGACCCTTCTGCCGGCGCTGCGTTCGGTGCTCCCGGTCAGGACCCGGAGAGCTTTCGCAGCAAAGGCATCAACCTGATATCGAGTGTCCGCACGCTATGTCGAGGTTAGTACACCTCCCAACATGACCTGGCCTGGCATGCTGCATTAGGGGCGTGGCCGCGAAAGTTTTTCCGCCTGGTGGTGATTCTGAACTGTGCTAACAAAAGCTCGTTATTGGGGGGATGGAAACAGTGCCGCTGATCCTGTTGAATTCTTTGATTATCATTTATGAAATTATGCTCGGATGATATCAGCTCCCACCAGCACCACCATCGACTCAATGGGGCCGGTTCATGAGAAATTCGGGTCGTTCACTTGGTTGGCATGCCACACGAACTGAGAAAAACCAAAGGCAAAATATCAGATACACGGACACTTGCAAGCCGAGCGATCCAATGCTCTATCTGCAACCCATACTACGAATGATCCGGGCGAAGAGTATCAGACATGGATGTATCAGTCGCTGGAAGCCTAAAACTCGAGATTCGAGAGATGGAAATGTTGCATATCGTCCGCTCGTGGCGGCGGACTGACACTGAATCACTCGGCCGATCTCCCCTTCAGAGCCAGCTCGCCCCATAAGCCGTCATCGGCCTTTTGGATCTCGAAAACAGCCGACCCTCGACTCGGCGAGCCACCAGGTAGATTGATCTGAAGCAGAGATCGAGCACAGCTTCGAGTCCGAGCCAGCGCTACACCACACCCGTCTTGGCGGGCGTGCTCAACAGCCCCGGAACGCTGCGAAAGGGGTGAGCTCACCGTGTACTGCTCCCTAGTAAAAGCGGACCGTGACCTACGAATGGCGGTGGAAATGCAGGAGTCTTGTCTGGCTGCAGTCCCTGAGCGAGGCTCCGTCCACCTCTGCGTGGCAGACCAGGGACATGCCCAACCGGACGTGGATGTCAATCCAACTACCTGAGGCTTATGGGAATATTGGGCAAGCAAAGAAAACACGGTCCGGGGAACATCGAGGCACCAGCGCCGAAATGAATCCAGAGGACTAATATTTCTGGCAAGATCTATATTCATGATCGTCTCTGTTTTCTTTTCTTTCACCTATATGCGATTTTTGATATTGCTCCCCCTGTAGGTTTTTAAATGTGTTTTCACCTTTATTAAACGAAACGCTCCGCACTTTTCACTTGGCCACCAGCGAGAATGACAAGAGTATTCAACACGCAGGTCAGGATCATTCGCATCTCCAAGTCGGAAGTCCTCATGTCTTTAGTCCCGCCATAATCGGATTGGACCACGGCATAGCCAACACAGGCCACGCGAAGCCACGTGCCCACAAGCCCTGTCAACCGGTTCTCGAACTGGACCTTATCGGCCCTGCTACCTCTCGATATCTTCCATGGCACCTGACTTGTCCGGGATCATCCAAGCTGAGACCGTGTTTTGTTTTTCGACGCACTAGCTGCGTCGTCGATGAATACATAGTTTTCCGTCGTAGGAATGCTCGCGACCTGACCGTCTATTTGATATATCGGCTTGCCAACCGAGCAATGGCGAAACACTGGGTAGAGTAAAGTCATGCTGACGATGAAGGCGCCGTGTAAATGCCGTCACCGTATAGTAAAGTTTCGTAACCCAGTCATAAATTCGAGAGCGTGAGCGTGCAATTCACACGCGAAGGTGGTCCGGCTGACAACGGACAGATATATCGACGATTTTGTGCTGCCAGGAGTATAAGTTCCAGGTAGACCAACCATGGCAAGATCCCCAAACATTAGTTTCGCTTCGTCGGCTTCTAATAATGCGTCAAAAGATATATGTGCAATGCAAACCAATGTCGAAGATAAATCCACTCGAAACTGCGCTGGCACCTGCGCCTTCGTCATGATAACACGCCGAACGACTTCTTTCGAATGCTGAAACGATTTCTCTTCTCCTTCTCCTTCTCTTTTTCTGGAGGATCCGCACTCTCTGGTGTTACTGAGGGAACCATATTTTCCTCCGATGGATTCGATGGCGGCTTGTCTCTTCTGGTCAAGGATCCGAATCGCAGACTCTTCGATCGTTTGAACCGATCGAGACCTGAATGGCTACTTCCGTTTGCTTGAACGGTGTGCGCTCTTTCAAGGGCGTTACGCCTATCCTCCTCGGCCTTTGTCGCCTTACTTGCTTCCATTGCCGCCTTAAGTTCCGCCTCTTGTCTCTTGTGCGCCTCTGTAATTTTGTTCGCTAAGTCTTTGCGGCGTTGTCGTTCGGCTTCTTGTCTTTCCTTCTCTGCCTGTTTCTCTGCCGCTTTCCGTGCCTTTTCCTCTTTCGCCTTTTCTTTCTTGCTTTGCACAACAGGACTGGTCGGTCTGGCTGGGGTGAAATTAGGAGGCGATTGGGGTGTTTCAACATGGCCGTTGGCCTTAAATTGAGGTGGCGCGGTGACCGCGTGATCGAGCGCCGCGTATTGTGCGGCTTCTGCAGTGGACGCTGGAGAGCCCGTTGGACTGAATGTCTCAACACGATGCAATTCGGCTGAGTGATTGGCATCAACACCTAGGGGATTGGTTAGATCTTGCGAAGCTCGTCTCTTTCCCTCCATTCTTTGCTCCTTTTGAACGGCTTCGAGTGTTGTCTCTTGGTAAAATAGTACGTAGGCACATGCAAGCCCCGGTTTATCACCAAAGAAGTTGCGGACAAAGTTTTTGTCGACAGGTTCAACCATCTCGTCGTCGAAAAGAAGCCAGCCCCGATCCTGGGTTTTGATAACCGCGACATAGTGGCCATGATATGGTCCTCCGCCGATATGAACGACCACTGCATATAGCTCGTATAGTCGGTCAGGATCCTCTGCATCGTCGGTGGTGTTGAAGAGTCTCAAATGATAAGGATACACAACTTTGTGGAATAACTTCTGAAGGCGCCCGAAATCTTCAGTATACTTAAAACGCTTCAGGTGTAAAGCCAATATTCGTGGAAGTCGCTTGATTTTCATTCGTTTCTCTGCTTCCTGGAGGCCGCCACAATTGTCACAGTGGAACTTGTTTCGCTCGCAGAGCATCTCCTCCTCGGAAAATCTTCGTAAACACGCGGTGACCGATGAATGCTGCTCCAAATCGACCGAAAGATCTAGGAAAGGTTCGTCACGCTGGGAAACGTTTTCGCAAGTCAAGCATCTGGTTTCAGACGTAAGTGTACCTTCGAAAAGGCCGTGTAGCCACTTTGTCGGAGAATTTGCTGTCGGAACTGGTAATATAGAGGGGAATGAAACAGTCGCTGATTCTGTTCTGGCCATATCCGTCGCTGGCTCAATTGCGGGTGAAGGCTCCTCCGATTTCTTCTGCGCAGTCACTTTTCTGTCGTGATCCTCGATATTCTCCACCACGGTGTTGAGAAGGAGGTTGAGAAACTCATGCGCATCCTGGTGCATGGCAGACCTGAACATCTCATTTTCCTTACGAAGAACCTCGAGAAATCTGTGCCCGCTCACGACTCCCATCCTCGACTGATGCAAGACGATGGCCTCGAATATGTCCTTCATCGATGTAAAAAGGCTTTCTGGCATGTCATAATCCTGTGAGTTATCGTAAGTCATGTTCAGAATGGGGCCGTTTAAAATCGCCTGTTTCTTCTTGTACTCCGGCGAGTCTTTATCCTCGGGCTTCTGTTGTTGTTGAGGAGGAGTGCCGGCATTTCGCGAGGATGCAGGCCCAGGGGGTGGCTTCTTCGCCGCGCCGTTTTGTTGATTCGGCGGTACTCGAGGAGGAGCGTGCAACTGAGCATGGGCAACGGCGTCAGGGTTGGACCGGCGTGGATACGAAAGGACGTGTTCTCGGAAAGGCACCGAATAATAGAGACACTGCAGGATCGAATTGCAATAGCTGCGAAAATCAGACCAAGAACACTCGGCGTGGATGTTGTTTCAGCACTGACCAGCTGTTTCCGAACTGCAAAAGATGCTGTGTTAACAACGGAGGCAAAGATTTTTTTTTTTCAGGCAAGACTAAGACATACATTTTCCATGCCAAAGAATTTATCACTGCCATCGTTGCGAAGCGGGCCAGCATTCGCTAGCATGCGCTCGAGAGGGGTTGGTAAAGGCGCATTTGCGTCCTTTTTGGCCGTGGACGCGCCTACTGCTGGTGCAGATGCATTCTGAGGAGAGACCAGGCCGTTAGTTACTATTTATTCCACAGCGGCCAACAAACAAAGACAATGGAAAACTGGCGCAGCCTCCACCGGGTATATTTGAGAGATCTGGACTCACCTGGCTCTTCAGCTTTCCAAAGAAGGAAGTCATGGTTGACGCGCCTCATCTGCGGACACCCGAATACATGGGCAAGTAAACTAGAGTTGTAATCAGGCTGGAGGGGAGCGCATCGGGAGTAAAGCGACAGTAGAGCAAGCGAGAGGAGGTGAGGACTGTAGGCCGGAGAGTGTCAGTGCAGGAGGTGGCAGAGTGGTAGTTGTCTACATCAGCTTTGAAATCGGAAGGGCTTAAGATGGTGGTAGTGGAAGTAATATGGTAGCAGTCCGAGTAGTAGTAGTACTACTGCTTGGGAGGCAGCGAGCTAACTACGATCAACCAGGAGTAACAACTGGGTGGGATCCTATCCCGTCTTCTGGTTGACTAGGTGCAGACAGGGTCCCGACTCGTGGTTTGTGGCGGGGGTGGACGTGACAAGCGCAGCAGCTAGAAGCGACGGAGTTCTGGCTCCTGGGGGGAGGCTGGCCAAAGCGAGCGCGTTGGATCCTGAGTTGCATGTCTGGCTTCACGCCGAGGGGCCTTTTGATGTACGCCTGGCTGGAATAATAGTGGGCAATTGGTGAGAACTCGGCTGTGCACCACCAGCTAGAAGGAACCCGCCCCTCCATCATCAACGCCCGTCAAAACCCCCCTTTAGGGCCAGCGTCACCCACGGGCTTGAGCCAAAGTGGTCACTCAGCGAAGATCGCGATTAATGATAGTCGGCTGCCACCCATCTGCTGCGTCTCGAAGACGCCCCTGGTTCCATACCATTTACGAGGTACCTATTGTCGCACTGAAAGGCCCTCGCTTCGCATGCATTCCCGCAAAACAATGTCAAACAAGATCAACACTCGGGTCAAGAGATCAAGAGATCACGGGTCAGAGGTTGTGCACCCTTGTCTCTCCTCCCACGAGTCTTCGACTGGGCTTTTCCTGCAACCGTGGGAAGTCTCCGTTTTGCCCAAACGGCGTCCGCTTCGCTAGACCAATTCTAGGGTATCCAGCTCAACTGCCGCATGTGCCTGGTGTCTCCAGGAGCAAACGTTCTAGCGCTTGGCCTTGACCACCTCCAACCATTCTCCATCGACGATAGCTGACGGGGGTTACAGATCGCTTGAGAGCGGAGGACTTATCGAGCAAACCGAACACGCGATACCTACCACAGAAGCACCAAAGACAGTGACTCCCTCTCCTTCATCATTGCCCATCACGCCAGGGCTTCGGTATCGAGCTCTTCTCCCTCATTGCCCTTTTCCGTCACTTGTGATCGCCGGCGGTTAATGTGGAAATCGGCAAAGTCGGACCACGCCATCAGCTAACTATCCGTGCGTTCATACTTCCCGCTTCCTTCTTAGAGGCTGAGCCCGGAAGACCTTGTTAGAATTTGCCTGATATCCTCGAGCGATGTTTCTTAGGCGCTCATGTTCCCTCCATTAACGCCTACAAAAGTGCCGATCTACAAGAAGGAGGAACCTCCGAGGAGCAGACACAGCAGGCGATTTAAAAACCTCCGCAAAGAATATTCGAAGGCTTCGCTGCAGAACACCACGTGGCGGAGTAGAGCTGATTAGGTTCAAGCCAGGTGGACTCTGCACTTTGACCACCGATCTCAGATTTATTAACCACCTCGCCAGCAATCAGCCAGCTACTCCGACGTTCAAGTCCGTATAAGCTATGATTGGCACCTTTGGCGACATCGGCCACATTGAAGCCCTGTCTTCGCCTGGTTGATGTCAAGTCAGCATTGTTACAATTCGCATTGAGACCTCGAGAACTTGGTCCCATGACGATGCTGACCCTGGTCGACCGTTTTGCCAGTCAAAACGAACTGCACACCCATATCCGCCACCACCGTTGAACGCAAGTGGTAGAAGCTCGTTCCCTTCCTTCGGGCCTCGCTCTTAGCCTCATTAGGAAATCCTCGGGGATAGTTCGCGTTTCACTACAAGCCACGATACTATGAGAATGAGCCACGACTATTGCAATAGTCGCTTTTTTGAAGCGGGGAGACCAGCCAGGGGTACTCGGTACTGTTTGCAGCGTGCTTGCACATAAAAACGCAGACTCCACTACATATTCTGGGGTTGCCAACCTCAAAAAGCGTTCAAGGCATGCCAAAGACAGTCTATTGATGGCGAATTCTCAGTCCGGAAAGCCAAGGTGAATCAAACGCGACTTTCAGGTTTGATAGACTCGCGGATCAGTCCCGCAATCGCAGAATCTCTGTGAGGAATTCCTCGAAGCTCATGGTGACATACCCATCTCGGTCGTCGTCGTATTTCTTAAAGACGTCAGTCATCCTTTTCAGGCTGATGCACGATTGCACAAATAGATCAAAGCTCATGCCTTGGTTCTGAATGGGACTGCGATCATTGAATGTGTGATAGAGAATGTTGACGAAAGGCGGGGACAACCGATATCCAAACGCTGTCAGCGCCTTGGAGAACTCTGCCAGCGATATCCGGCCGCTCCTATCCTCATCAAATTTCTCGAACAGGGCGCGCCATGCGGCCAGAAAGCGCCAAAGGTTTTCAAACTCTTGGTAGGTGATGGTCGGGCCTAGGTACTGGTTTGGAGGGGAGTTGGTGAACATGCGCATCAAGGAAGAGATGGTTCGCCCATCAAAAGGGGTGAAGTCGGCATTCACCAGGGCCGAACCCAGCTCCGTTGTCGTCAGTGATCCGGTGCCTGATGCATTTGCAGCACGGAAAAGAGGCTGTAAGTCGACTGTGTCGGGATCTTGGGGTGCAGGTGTCCTGGACGGATATTGATTTGTTTCGTGCGAAGTTCGTCGCGCGTTTGCAGGATCGATCGGCGGACGAGACGCATAGCCGTAGCTTGTTGGGGGAGGTGATTGCAAGCGGGAAAACTGGCTGTCACCATAATATTGATTGTTTATTGGGTGTTGTTGTGGATTTATTTGCACGGGAGGCGGTCGATAGGAATTCTGGGGGATGCCCGCTGGGGATGGACGACGGCCTCCGGCCAACGGAGGCTGCTGAGCGTTCGGATTCGAAGGAGCTTGGTTTGGACTGGGACGGAGGGCTTTGCGATTTGCTTCGAGTTGACTGAGGGCTTGCGCAGCCTGCTCAGGTTCTGCGTGACTGTCATGAACAGAGAGAGTCAGTGAGTGAAGCGGGGGAGGGGTCTGTAGTCGTACGCAGGCAAGGCATCCGGATTGAAGGCTCTGTTGTATGCCATCAGAGATATGTTGGAGGAGGATAACAATATCTTGTCAATCTGAAAGAGGACGAGGATCACACGCTGTTCGAGAAAGACAGCGATCCATATTTGGTCATTGTGAGGCTGACCAAAGAGTTGCAGCTGGGAAACTGGCTCTTTGCATGATGACGATTTCTTGGGGCTCAGGTGCCCAAGCTGAGGTGGGCGCAGGCAAAGAATGACTTTGGCGGGGCTGGTTTCTGGGCGCAGTCCCCCCTAATTATTCCTATCTTCTATCTGTGAGCACCTCCTCGTCCTAGTAATAGCCTCACCTCGGTAACCAAAAACGTAAAAGGTCGGCTTGAGTGGCTCGCCAGGCGTATCGCAAGGCTGCAAACACGACCTCTGGACGAACGGCCCAGTGACCAAAGTCGTCACACCCAAGATAATACAATAGGTGCCCTTTGACAGCTCGGAACTGCACCTGTATACGAACAGACCTGACTAACTCATGACTAACATAATTCTCTCAGTCGTGGTAGACGTTGGTCCGTTGGTTCCGCTATCTTGCTCAGTCTCGCGCCCTCGATTGGGCTTGTAACGCCCTCTTAGTCGGTCGGTATCTTTTCCGTCTGCTTTGGTCGAGTACATTCACCGTGTTGATGGCTTGAAGTAAGATATCGGACGAGTAAGCTTGAATTATTTTGTGTGCCAGGTCATTCTGCTGAGAGTCGACCCAGCAAGCGTGTATTAGTGTGCATGAGATCTGCCAGCTGGCTTCAGGCGTCGGGAGAGATCCGTAGCCCACCCATGGGGCCTCTGTGCAACAAAGATGGCCTGAAGTTTAGCCCCTCTAGGCGGTCGTTTCGTAGGTACCTAGAACGCCTAAGTTACCTAGCGATGGTGTTTGGGTGGTGTTGAGTGGTGAAGCTGCTTAACTAATTAGTTGCCGCGCTGCCACCAGCTGCTGGCCCGGAGCTCCCCCCTGGAGGGCGCGTGGCTTTGCGTCGTTGTCTTCGTCTGTGCCACTAAGGCGGCTTCGTTAAGCAACGGAACCCGCCTCTGATCCTCCCGAAAGCAACCATTGATGCAGACGAAATTCATCATCCATGCCTCTCTTTTCCATCCAGAGACGGCCTTCTCCTTAGTCGAGTTAGTCTATATATCTCTGCGTCTTCTTTCTGCTCTGCTTACATATACTCCTATTGACTTGGTATCAGAAGTCGCTGTGCTGTTGTTACACCTGAATTCCAACTTGTGCAACCTCTTTTCGACCGATGCCGCAGTCCTGTTCTCGCCTTTGACGCACAGCTCAAAATCGTTCCACAAGTCAGTGTTGCAGCATGAGTCCCGTTCACACTCAAGACTTCTGGCTCTTTGGCTATGGGTGAGCTAGATTGTCCCTCACTCGCTTCATCATCATGGCCGCGACGACTGATTGAATGCTCTCGATCAATAGGAGCCTGATATGGAAACCTCCACCACATTTTGGTAAGAACTGAGTGCTGTCTCAGCATCCTTGCAGACCAGAGTTCATGCCCTTTAGATCAGCGGATTCCAGGGTATATCAAAGGTTACGTTCGACGCTTCTGGCAGGTAGGACGCATTGTACCAACCTAGCACAAGTCAACCACTAGCTAACAGAGTTCGTTCACCCAGGCAAGGTAGGTGTCTCTCGCGTACCGATCAACTCACGTTTGTTGAGCAAGCACCCCAGCGAGGACCATCGTGGAACCCCTGACGCCCCAGGAAGAGTGGTCACGTTGATTGAGAGGTCTTTTTGGGAAACGCTTGACGACCCTGTACGACATACACCTCAGCCCTAGCGTAAACGTCATCCTTCGTGTGTGACTGACAACCATCAGCAACGCCATACGGAAGGGGACGTGGTTTGGGGCGTCGCTTATCATATCATACCATCAAGAGTCAAGGAAGTTCAAGAGTACCTCGATATTCGCGAAATGTATGCCGTCTTGACCGCTTCCAAATTGCTTGTTGACCTCGGGGCAGAAATGGATACAGCATTCAATACACTCCCTTTCACCCTGCGGACACTTCGCTTGCAGATCTGCATTGCCTGGTCTATATCGGTATGCCTGACAACCCTCAGTTCTTGGGTGCTTTGCCGCCGGATGAAGTTGCAGAAACGATCAACGCCAGTATCGGTCCAAGTGGGGAGAATAGAGAGTACCTTCTCCATCTTGAACAGGCCCTGAAAGAACTGAGCCCAGACAGCCATGACGAACATATCGCAGACCTTGCGCGACGAGTGCGAGCTCTTACTCCGCCCCATAGATTTCCGCGTCGCCCGTGTGCACCTGAGAATACCTTGCGAAAAGTCAACAGTACTGAGGAGCAGGAGGAGATAGAGAAGGAAGTATGATTGCTTGTGGTATGGACATTCTTGGATATTTCTGGTGATGTGATCTCAATGCATTCGAATTGGAACTCAGCGGTGCGGTTTCCGACCAACAGCTTGGTTCAATCAGTGGATGGACTTCGTGGGTATCTTTGCACAATCAAGTCATTGTCCCCGATCTTCTTGGTCTATTGTCGATGAGGCCCCTGCTGGCCATAGGGGTTGTTGCCCCCTTGCTGCTGGCCTCCTCCATACGGACCGCCTGGTTGTGGGTATTGCGGATTGTACTGCCCATATTGAGCAGGATACGCCGCGCCGCGACCGAAACCCTGAGGGTTCGGGTTCCGTGGCTGGGTCCCAGGCTGTTGATAACCACCTGGCGCCATGGGCATTGTGTATCCACCTCTTCCGGCGAAGCCACCACCGCGACTCGCGCCTCCCTGCCTGTTGTCCTGGGCATGATCTACTCGAATCAGACGACCGTCGAATCTGCGCAAGAGGTCAGTTTCTCGAGGGATCTGAATGCTGCCCTGTCTCCTCACTCAGTGTTGTTCATTTTCTGAAGGGCTTCGTCGGCTTCCGCTTTCGTCGCAAACCGCACAAATCCAAAGCCTCTGCTGCGATTTGTGTCGCGGTCTTTGACGACAACCTGAACAGCATCAGCCATCCCTCTCACAAATCATCGACGCATCAATTACCGCCTCCTCCACCTTGCCGAATTGCTGGAACCCTTCGTATAATGTTTCGTCGGTAGTATGCCAGGCAAGACCTCTGTTGGAAAGATCACGTCAATTTTCACCGGGACAACTGCATTTGTAAGACTTTGGGCACATACCCAATGAAGAGCTTCGCCATAGTGCAGTCGATTGGCCACAGCCAGAGATGGTACTGTCGCAAAGTACTTTCAGCCCCCTTCAAAGTAAGCCCCTGGGAGCGGTCTGAGATACCCAGAACTCACCGCACAAAGTCACGGATATTGAAGAAGAGACAATAGTCAGGATTGGGTTGTCATGAAGATTTCATTGGTCGAGAATATGCAGCGGTTCATGCAATCTATCAATTAGAGCGTCTGCAGTTCAGCCCCAATCAACAACAGACTAGCATCGATATCACAATTCCTTGTGCCTTTGAAGTCGCCGGATGAAACAGTGACAAAGGAAGTTGAGTGGGATCCGCAGAGCGGGCAAGATGCCCTCACTTAAGATCGGCAGGCTTCTGAGGGTACCACGTGGGAAAAGCAAAGCCCATCTCCTATATGTGGTCAACAGCTGGGAAGTATAGCGGCACCCAATTCTCAGAAGGAGCGAGAACCTGTCCCCCGCGCATACGGGGATGTTGGTACCGAATCTCTCTGACGAATACAATCTACTTGCGGGCAGCCGTTGATGCGAAGATGACTTCCTGAAAGTTCGATGCGCAAAGACTTCCGGATCCAAAGCAAAATGCTGGAGTGGAGTACAACAATCACTCGCTCTGGTGCACTCGCAAACTCCTTGTGATAGGGTGATGTCAGGACAGTTGAAAGATCGTGCAATACGAGGGGTGGTGTCGAGGCACTGCTGATACGGTGGACCCGAAAAAGCAAAGGAAGAACGGCTAACAGTGGGCCTATCCAACAAGGAGATCTCCCAGCACAGTGGAAGCCCTGTTCGGTGGACAGAGTCATTGGCGCAGGACACCTTTTATTGCCTGGAACTACGATATAGCAGGTCTCTATCAACCGCTCAAGTTGCATATCAGCCCTATGGGCAGAAAGCCTATTTACTTGGTTGCTTCGATGACAAGTTTTCCAAACCCTCGAGGCAAAGCGGTCTCTTTCGAAGGTCGAGAAACCATCCGGCAAGATCACCATGGCAGCTTTTTATCTTCGGCTCTCAGAGGTTCTGAGAACGATTCGTTAGGCGGTGTTGGACTGTGGCCAACAAGTCAGCACCAGACGTTGTAGTGGAGGGAGGGAGGGGAACCAGTCTCAGAAAGAGGCAGGTGATGTTCGGGCACCACGAGCTTGACCGCTGGTTGAATCTGGGCAAAGGTAGGGCTGCAACAGGATTGATCGAGCTCAATCAACGGGAAAGCCAACGGGACTATGGGCTTCGCCGCATCATTCGACGCATTCTACTGGGTGAACTGGACCTCATGTCCTTATCAGAGACTTCTACTGGCAAAGTTGCGCACCGACATACCCCGCCTCCGGGAAAAGATGTTCACCTTGATGCGGCCGAGGAGAGGATACTCGAGGACAATTTGGGTTCCTCTGTGTGACGAGCACTTTCTGAATGGGGTTTGGATGGGTCGACTTTTGAGCATTTGGAGGGAGAGGTAACGGTCCTAGCGTAAGTGGATGCGCCCAAGATCACAGATTCAACTGACTCAGAATCAAGAGATGAAGGTTGGTGCAGCTTTGTTGAAGCTAAGGAACCAAACTTTATAGAGGGCATCCATCCGGGTCTGCTCGGGGAGCCATCAAAAGAAATGGAGAAGCGGGCGTGCCAATTGAGGGTGGATGGATGGTTGTGTGTGGATGGGGAGTTGAATCCTCATCAGTGGCACAGTTGCCGGCCAGTGCCTTGGGATCCTAGCATCCTGGAATCCTAGGCTTGGGGGGGTTGGAGGGAGTCTGAAAGGTTTGTGTGGTGGGAGGTCGACTCGACGAAAGACCGCCGCATGGAACTAACGTCCAAGATGCTCTAGCGACCCTCGCAACGCCTCTTGAGCCTGCAGCCAAAGTCAAATATGAGCACAACGCCGACACTAGAGTACCTGGATTCAGCAAGACGAAACTCTCAAAAAGGGAGCAACAGCTTGGCTGCCTTCTTGACCCAAACCCTCGTTTTCCGGTATTGGTATTCCCAAGTCTCTCCTCAACTTCTTCTCGAGTCTCTAGGCTCCGAGGCCTTGGACGCTACAATGGCTCCACCGTGGTCACAAAGCCTATAACTAGCAGAAAAGCACGAAATCCTCCGATATGGACTAGCACACCCCCTCGCTGGAGCACATGTCGACCAACCCACACTTGCATTTTGGGTTCCCTCCTCCCCCTCCAAGTCGAAAACGCTCCACTGGTACCACTGCAACTTGACGCCTAGGTTGAGAGGACATATTACCCAAATACCCTCCCCAAAATGTGACCTACAGATTGGACCAGGCGTGGAATCTTTCCTCACCGACTTCTCTCCTGCCTGCGCCTGTGCCGCTGTCCGATGACCCCATCGTCAATTGCTTGGCCGGACATTCTAATAATGTGGGGTTCATCATGTCTTCCAGTCCGTTACCGAGCATGACTAGATATTTTGGACTATTGTGCTTGTAGAAGGACCAAGAGTTGACCTGCCACTGCCTACCCAAGCACAAGGTGTCCGCGGCTGACCGGCTCCTCTCGGCCTCACTGCGCTGGGACCTCCATGACCGCAACGTTACCTTGGGACATTTTCTTTGTGCATGAAGAACTGCAAGATGAGAAGGTTATCGCATGTAAGCTTGACTGGAGTGACTGGGGTCCTGCAGAAATGATCTGCAGTCAGCCCTACGTGTGCCTACGATCCACATTTGGCCTCCTTTTCGCCCCAGCCTTGACTATCGGTATGTTTCCGACCAGGTCAAAGAACAGTATAATTCGCTCATGGGCGTCTTGCGCTGAACTGCCGGTCTGCACCTACAAGAGCGTCTGGCGCCTTCCGCACAGTTCTGTTTGGGAGGTAATGGACGCGCTTTCCACTGGACGGCCGGTGTTCGTTGCAGGGTCACCATCCGTCAATTTCTATTCTTGAAGAAGAGGTTCGCTGTTTGTCTTGGGCCACATACAAGTCTGTGTCTAGGTAAAGATGAAGGCGGTCCGTGATTCGACAAACAGATGTCTTGCCTTGGACAACCAGTGCTGTTCGTCTCCGAAGATGTGCAACAATGGCTACTAAATGTGGAACAAGGCTCAATTGACCTCGACCAGGAAGGCATGTATCCAATTACACCTTGTCACCATGTGAGGGGCCAAGGCCAACTTTGAGATGGAGCGAGCTGCGGTGCAACATTGCTGATGTGGATTTTGACAGAGACCCTACGGAATCGGGGCCCGGTCTTACAACTGTTGAGCGCAAAACAAATTGGAGTCAGCCACGAGGGTCGGCACGGAAAGACAAGAGAGCAGGGTCGCCTTAAGAGAAGGGAGAATGATCATGCCGAGCTTGGCCCGCCGTCTGACTGCCCAAGTCTCATATACGGGAAGGACAGTACAACCAGGGTGGGAGAGAAAAAAGTACCGGATGCGGGTGAGAAGTATGCCAGGAAGCTCAGGCACAAAACCAGACCCGACAGATACGAGTACAAGGATGCAATTCAAAACCCTTCGAAGAGGGTCAAGAAAAAGTCAGCGGCCCTGCTCAGTCATGATTTTCAGGCACCAAACGTGGCCAGCGAGAGATTAACCCTCAACTCCAAGACTGGACCAGGTTTTCTTACTAAAGCAAAAACTTCCGGTGACGCCGGGAAGAGGGGACTGCCAGATCTGACCTTCTCGAAGATGGCATTTCTCAAGAGGAAAAGACAGGACAACGAGGCACGCTTTCCAAAGTCAGAGGAGCAGAAGTCGAGAAACAAAAGGGTCACGTCGCCACACTATGAGATAGCAGACTTCTTTACTCGATCGACAGGGTTAAGACGTGAAAGACGATATTCAGGTACCCCGCCCTCGGTGGAATTTCACATCTCACAAACTGCCTCTCCGTCACAGGACCGAGTATCATTGATGCGCCAACGATTGAGTCCAGTTGTACAGTCAAACACACCAGAAAGCAAACGTTTCCGCAAAGCCCACAGCCCAATTGCCTCCGTACCGATTCGTCCGACGAGCTCCGATAGTGAAGGCTTCCTGGAAAAGTTCACGACCGACGCACTCTTACATGGAGTCGACGAATTTTCCCACGGACCGCGGAGACATTACTCATTGAATGACTTGAAGAGGCTAGCCATCCAGGTGGCTACAGACCTGACCGGCATCGAGGGTGCTTGTCATCATGATATCGACATCACGG